GATGATGATGATGATGATGATGATGATGATGATGATGATGATGATGATGATGATGATGATGATGATGGTTAGCTTGCAGGCCTTTTCATCTAAAGTAGTGACGTTCTTAGTTTACCGGCGGCTCTAGACCTGGTTTCCTAGGACAAACTCAGTGCATACATACTCTCCCAGTTCTTGTGGAGTGTCTGGCTTTGTATCCTCCCCACCTCTCTTCTCCACGTGCCGGACCCGCCGTTCGGACGCCGTTGGGTCTGCGCCCGATCCTTGGAGAGTTGTGGAAGTCAGCAGCATACAGCAACTCCAGCATTTACGTTGGTGGTTGCAGCGAAAACAATAGAATCAATAGAACAAATATAAGAACCTGTGGGTGAAAGGTGGCACAACCCGAGTAAAGGTGGCACATAAAAAAATTGGGAAACCACACCTAAAGTGCTTCCGTACTGTTGATTGACAAGGTTTGAAAAGCAACACTGGCACCACATGGATCAGGAATCTTCGGAGTTTGTTTTGTGGTGGACAACTTCGCTTGAAAGCAATCAAATCCAACAATTGCCCTGGTCATACAATTCTCTCCGGATGCTATATTTAAAAGGAACCCACATGAATCACATGAAACAAAACAGCACTCAGCCCTCACATTGACATCAAAACCAGCTGAAGGTTCGCACGCATTGGTCTCCAACGGTCTCCAAAGCTCAAGCCCTTCCGGAAAGCCAAGCGGTTCAACTCCGCCGTTCCAAGCGGTTTTCTCGTTCCACTGCTCGGCCACTTCACCGAGAAGGACATGGATGAGTCCATGGAAAATAATGTCTATACCAGGGCCCCCCAGGCCCGTCAGGGGGTGTCTGACAGCCTCGCCCTGGGGGCCTTAGGGGCCCTTCTTCTATTTCCAAGTTCGGCTTGTACTGCTTGGGCCAGCTGCGGCAGGGAATGCGCACATGCACACTTCGTCCAGGAATGTGCTAAAACACACTGCAGCCAGCGATTTTATCAGCAACAAACATGAAAAACAATGAAAAACATCCCTTCCTCCTACTTGTAGGGAAGAACCTTGCTGCACCCGGAAGACTGGTCTTGTCTGTTGCCCCACGGAAGCGACCACGGAGGCTCCGTGGTAAACGTCATGTCCGGTCCGGACGCATGGTCCGGTTGCGGATCAAATCCACTGCCGGTCCGGTGGTCAATTTAACACACAAGACAAGAAAACACCAACAGTTGAGCAACTCGAGACAATTTGGATCATGATTCAAATATAAAAACCTGTGCAAAGGAGCCAGCTGTGCTGGAAAAACACACTGGGTGAGAGTTCGACGCCTGCAGGAACCATAATCATATCATGCAACGAACAAAAAGCAAATTCTATCCGGAATCACATCATGAACAATCAACAACGAACGCCCCTTTGTTGGAGAAAGTGTGTCTCGGGTTTGCATCCAAAGAATGCTGGTCTCAGAACCTTTTGACATCTGTTCACCATCTTTGACCTTGTTCACGCGACTCGCGGTGAGAAGACTCGGAGTGTGCAACGAGCAGGGAGATCGCGATGAGCGGTGATGGGCCACGACGTGTGGGTATATTTCACCTATACTCGAGAACAATGGAAAGAGCAAAATTGGTGACTATATACATATCAAGGGGATTCAAGGGGCCCCAAGGGTAAGGACATGTAATGTAGGCCAGCTGGATGTTTGACCCACTGTAGCAGACTGAGCTGCAAATCTATATTCTAGATAGATAGATAGATAGATAGTACATACCAGGGGGCCCTTGGACATGAACTTGGAGACGCCAGCAGCTCCAGCTCATTGCCCTCACCGCCAGGCCACGCAATCTTCTTAGCGCCCACGACCAAGACCTCTGAAAAGAAAAGGAATTGAAGCTAGCAAAGTGAAGTGTGAAGCAAGCTCAAGCGACTCACTGGTAACCCTCTGTATTCCGCTTGAATGGGTCTAGGTCTAAGCATATACATGTATATATAGAAACTCACTGTTCATCCAAATGTGGTTTCAAGATTGCCCAAACTTCCACTGATGTGAAACATGAAGCTCCTTTACACTATCTCTTCTCATCTCTTCTCCAGTCACCAAGTCATCATCAAATGCTTGAACCCCACAACAAGATCTGGTTGCCGATTTTGAAAGAAGCAACATATGACATTTATATATATATATATATCATTTGTCAATCGGGATGGTCCCCCAGGGACATAGCCATAATGTAGACTCTTGAATCATAACCCACCCAAATAAATTGAACAACCTCTTCATATGGGCTTTTGACATAAAGTCAACAGTCTACACTAGCCATAGCGTGGCAAAAACACGTTGTCCACTTCCGCAGAACAGCCCTGCCCAGTTCTCAGCGTCATTGAGATCTGGATCTCTGACAAAACACAAAATTAGAAGACTATATATGCTCTTCCAATCTCTTCCAGGCGTCGACATCTTGTGACATCTTGTGGCGAAACAATGCGTAGATGTTCTCAGAGAATCCGTCAAAGCTACAGCACATTTCAACTACGTACTAGTAACTATAGCATACACTTCTCCAAGTGTTTCGCCACCATTGACCCATTATATACCAACAAAGGTTGAAGGACCCTAAAAAGATCTAAAAAGAGTATCCCAGTTGGGTACCCCAGGTTGCAGGTCCCATTTACGGTCACCTCCCTACGGTAAGTCTCAAAAGAAAAGGACCGTTCTTCGGCCGCTCTTCCGCCGCTGAGCACCACCCGATCGCCTCCGTGACGCCGAAGGCACAGGCGGATCGCAGCAAGGTGCCTGGAGCGGTTCGGGACGGTTCGGGACGGTTCGGGACGGTTCGGGCGGCGGCAGTGGAGGTGGCCCTTCAAAGGACCTGGTCTGGGACTGGAATCAGAACAAACCTGACATGGAAATGGGTCATTTGCTGTCGTTTTTATCGGGTCAATTGTTTAGCTATTCATCTCTATTCCATGCTATTCCAGTCCCATTCGTCTGGTCTCCGGGATGACGACGAACACCCGAGGACCGCGTTCCGACCATATTCCCTATATATAGGGATCCACACACCCTTCGAGCTATGGTGCTGTGTTTGACATGTAGCTGCCAGTCGGGTCCAGTTCGGGTCCAGCCGAACTGGTACGACTAGGTACGACTACCGTGGCCTCTGGACCGAAGCGCTTCCACAACGACCCCTCTCGTTGGACTCCACCGACCGATCCGGGCGCCGGATCGGAGTGTCCGTCCGAGGCACCGAAGTTCTGCTTCTTGCTGACCTGGAGCGGCGGTGAGGAGACACGGAAGACGAAGAAGAGAAACATGACACTCCCAACTCCCAAGTCAACTCACATAGACCCTGACAATAGAAACCTGGAAGATGGTTTTCCTCTACCAACCAGTGGTGTACTCAGGGTCCATCAGGGTCCATGTTAGTTTTCGGGAGTGTAACACGGATTTGGCTGGCTGGTGAGACGGTGTTTCGCCTTTTGAACGCCGAGAATGGGGCATCCATTTCTGGCCAAATCAAGCTATTGTCAGTCTACATGATCCATTGTCCTCCATGGATCATTGATCAACATATATCAATCATTGCCCATCCACCCCTCCAATCAACGTCCCATCACATAGGGACCCCTGCATTAAAAATCAGCAGGAAGGACTCCGGCTTTGAAGGCCTCAGTGCTTTCATGACCCTCAAGGAGGCAGAAGAACTCATGTGTATGTTGAGCCTTGCCAATCCCCGGATGCATACGCATTATTAATATACCCTTGCATGCAGGGCCTGTTTCAAACAATTGACCCAGCGGCGGTCGGTCATGCTTGGAACACACCTACTCAATCAGCCAAGGCCATTGATCATTGCCCAAACCATAAAAAACATATATATAATATATAATATATGATATATATATATAAATATATAATATAAATTATATATACATACTGGCCCCAGGGATCCAAAATGATCCAAGTAGCTTCTCAGGTTCGGTACGACTGGACCCTCCTGGCACCTATACTTGCAGAGTCTCATGTCTCAGTCCCCGAGGCGCCGGCCCCGCCGCGGTTCCGGCCGGGCGCGGCACCGTGGACGGTTCCTGCAGTGGTGGGGCCGAATGGGTTGGGGCTTGTTTTGGGGGTCTAATGGATGATGCTAGAGTCGGTTGTTGTTGTTGTTGCTGTTTACTTTTGGTTGTTGGGTGGTAGCATCATGTTATCATCAGCTTGGAATGGGCTCAATTCTGTGCAGTCAACTAATTCCTACCAGGTCCAATCATCAGTCCTTCGGCTGGAAGAAATCCAGAACCCATCTTGGATCAGAAGCATCCTTCTTACATCGTTTTGGTGGTTCCAGGCTATAGGTTCTGGTGTGATTTCTTTTGTCAATGGCCTACAAAAGCCCTCCTGCACTAACCCCCCTTGCTTTTATTGGAAGAAAATGAAAGAACCTTGGGATAATCATCCGGTTGAACGGGACGAAGATCAATGAAAAGCACCGACGAAGGCCTATCAGTCGAACCCAAACGCTTGCACGACGTTCAGGTTCTGGGTGGGACGATTGCTTCGTGCACACGATGCGTCGCCACTGAGCCTCCTCTCCCTCCAACTCAGCTGCCATGAGTTGCTGCGGTGCTGCGCGCCCGAAGCGGCTGACTGTTGGACTGGTGGGAGCCTGACTCTCCGAGCTGGCTAGAAGAAACGGTTTCAAGATTCTTCCACCTCTTGGAGCTAGGGGGTGGGGGAACCAATTCCTCCAAACCAGTTTTCTCGCGGGTTCTCCAAAAAACTGGTTGAGTGGGGCTCCAGAACTCAGCGAGCCGAGTTGTAGAGCTCTTGATGGGTGGAAGGACTTGTTCCGGTCGCACCTGAAGTGCGACAAGGCTTGGGACGTCGCTCAAAGCACTTGCTCCGAACATGTGTTTCATCGTGGGCCGAAGTAACTTGGGGTGGATCTATCATGTCCAAGTGATGGAGACCATAAATGCTGGACAGTGAACCCGAAGTCACATCTTTTGGCTGGCTCGGGATGCTTCCCATGTTCAACATTGTTCAACTAGGTTGGGGGAATCCAACATGAAACGATGTAATTGCAGGTCCATGATATACTCGACTCTGGGGGGCCCATTGCTTGGATTGTGACCTGAAATGGGCCTATAACCCGTATGCCGATATGACTTATAAATTCCTGGAGGCAATTCCCCGAAAAGGACAACAACATGATCTTGAGCCAAACCAGAATTTCTTGGAGGGGTGGTGCAGCTGCTCTGCTGTGCGCTAACGCTTGAGCCGAATGCAGAAACAAGAACAACTCATTCATCTCCGTTGCTGTTTAGAAGGGTTGTTCAGCAAATCTCGCTCCCAACAACTTCACTAAAGGTACGTGTGTATTGTGACTTTCTTCTGCCTTTACCAGCCTCCAGTGGACCCTGATCAGCTCCATCTTGATTTATACGGGTTGTTGTGACCAAACCACCAAATGCTAAAGCAATAGCAGGGGTCCAATATACAGTAATGATTGGCAGGTGTGAATCTTTACCTAGGATGTTGGTGTGCTACAAAAAGAAAGGCTGGGCGGCTGGACATATCCTGGGATATCATCACGGTTTGCAGGTCCGAACAGTGGCCGCATCTTTGCATGTTTTGCGCGGCCAAACTTTGGATCAGAAGCCTGAACACCGCAGTGAGCATCCCATTAGTCTGATTGACTGCAACAGGCCAACAAAAACCAACATACAAAAACAAGATCAGTGTGAAGTCATCACGAGCGTACAACCAGCAAAAGTGAGCGGAGACCATAACCAATTGTGCAACCTACACACATTCAGTAAAAAAAACTAGCTTCAAAACCATCTTCAGAACCTCCTCTGACAGTGTCCTTGGCTCTTCACAATCTTCGCATCATACACACACACACTATTTCTACAAGGCTGGTCCAACTGGGTTCAAAGTTTTCCTTGGAGTTCTGCCTCCTTGGTTACTCTCCAAGGAACTAACATGGAAGTGGAAAACCCACGGACCCCCCCCTACTGTATGTGTAAAGGAAGCATGTCATCCAAGGGGCCATGCCATCTACTTCCACTGTGAGCTTCCAGTGGGTGCAAATTCTTCCCCAAAGCCTGGAAGAACCGACCGGATGGTCTTTCTGCCCGACCCCAAGGACCTGCACGTCAGGACCTGGAGCCAAGGAGCTGCCAGTGCCGAACCCCTACTTCACAAGGTGTCAGGGACTGGCAGTAATTGATGAATATGCCAGTCACAAATGCCAGGTCGTGTTTGGGATTTACCACTTTTTGCCCCTCACTACCTGCCGATTCTGCCGAGAAAACGCTGGAGGGAGCTCCACTTTTTGCCCCTCACTTCGCCCACAGTCCCATAGCAGCTCCTGTGGCGAACCGCCCCGCAGCGGATTTCAATCAAGGTACAGTGGGCATCGAGGCCCATTCTGTAGTGGAGTAGTGGACATGGGAAGGATGATCCAAATCCCCCACAACTCCAAGCCTCCGAAGTGCGAAAGAACACGGATTGTCTCACGCCGGTGCAAACGATCCATACCGACACTCGGGTGATGTCTATAAGTTGCACTTGCACCCATTTGGGACCGTCTGATTTGACAACCTTAGGAACATTGATGACCGGGTTCCGTTTGATGGTATTTGAACAGGAGGACAAGTTTTGAATTGGGACCTCCGTCGGGAAATCCCACCGTCTGCCCCTTCTTTCGAACAGCGTTCTTCCCAAAGGCCTCCGCAGCCGGCCAGCGCATAGATACCGGCGCCGATGAGCGCGGAGCCATGGGGCGCCAAGGGGAGCACCTGCTGCACGCAAAGCGCGGAGCGCTGCGCGGAGCCTTCTGGAGGCGACCGAGCTCTTGGTGGGACTTGGGGTTGATCAGTTCCAAGAAACTGGGACAAATCATGGGGAGAGAAACATGTATGGTTTATGAGCTGACCACTATGTATAGCTAAGGCAGCTGCTAAGGCATGCTAAGGCCAATGGCTCAAACAGATTCAAAAAATAGTTCTCCTAATCCAAAGTCACTGGTAAAGGAATAACGTCGTCCTTCAAACTCTGTCGAAGTGCCGAGACCTTTGGAGGAGGAAATTCCGCAGAAACGACAGCACCCAGTTTGACCACTTCTTAGATGGAAGTCTTGGAAGTCTATTAAATTGTTTCGATTTATTAAGACTCCAATGACTCGAATGGAACGTCTTATTCAGCCACCTAGAGGTTCAGCCACTGATGGCTTTGACGAATCTTTATTCAGCCTCTAGAAGTTCGATTCGATTTAGCCCACTGCTGCCAGGCTGATGTGCCGAATTTTGACACCACTGTCACCGGTGAATCTATTTCATGGTTGGATCCTCATGCTCTTTGGTTCTTGAGGGTTCTGGGTGGCTACGAACCTGGAAATTCCACCTGTCCGTGCTCTTACGATGAGCCTCCATGAAGGCTCTCAGTGGGCCAGTCTTGGGGTAGGCTAATGGGCTAATGGAAACTCCACAGGCTCAGTCGGCCATCGACTTCGCCGAAGAAGTGTTGAACTGTTTCGGATGCTTCGGTGGACCTACTATGCTACGCGTTGGGAGACTTCTTGCCAAAGAGATGCTTGGCAATGTGACCCATTCACCCTTCGGATCCTTCAAGATGTTTCAAGTCAAGTCTGCCATGTCGGCCATACCAATACCATCCATTGCTCATACCATCCGAAGTCATGAGTCACAATAGTAATATTACATCAATCATCTCGAGTCCTCCTCGGCCGTTCCCTCGGCCGTTCCGAACCCGCCACCGCCCCGCTCGTTTCGGATCCACGCCGTTCCCGCGGCGTTTGCGGCGCCTGGATGGCCGAGGGCGCGGCCGCCTGGGAACGAAGGACCCGGGGCCGAAAGGAAGTGGACGGAGTCGAAAGGAAGTGGACGGAGTCCCAGTGCCTCCCCCAAACACGACCTCGAATGGGAATGGGATGGAATGGGCATATGTTGACGTGATTTCAGAGGTCAATGATGGTCAGTGTGGACATATGGAGTGACCCTCTTTCTGCAAAAACCTCTTCAGGTCAGGAAGTTGTTTCATAGCTACCCTGCTCTTTGGGATGCTTGAAGGTTGGAATTGTTACTTTTCTTTAATTTATTGGAATGTTTACTTTTCTTTATAAACATGAAGGCATAGGAAGGCACTGAGACCCTCCAATAAACTTCATCCAACCCAGGCCTCGCCCACCATTCTCCTTCCATCTCCTTCCTATGCTCCTATCACAAATCCAAAAGAAGATGTCAACCGAGTCAACCGCATGACCCCCCAGGGGGCTCTCAACCCCCTTCACCGGACCCTGTGGACGGTGTCGGTCTTCGCCGCCTGTGTCTTCTTGCTTCGCCTCCTTGGAGTCCGAGCGGCGACCGGAGGAGACCGACCGGAGGAGTCGACGACGACCGCAGACTCGGGACGTAGGAGACGTGAAGACGTGAACACACAAAGCGATGCCATAGGGCAAAGCATCCTCCAAATTCGATCAAACTGTTCATGTGCTTTCTTGTTGAACGGGAGTGCAAAGCTGCCTTCCTTGAGACCTTCCTCAAGCGGAAGTCTGGACCAAAGTCTTCAAGTCGTGGAGCACTTATATACATTGAAACATGTTGAAACTGCTCATCGGTCGGATGGTGGTCTCAAAATGAACAATGCTGTGCTGCTGTGTAAACAGTCCACGATTATATACACCCAGAACTCTGCTTGGGGGTGTGCTTTTCATGCTTGCGCTTGCTTTGGCGTCAATTTGTGAAACTGAGAAGCGGTTCTGCAGCCCTCTCCCACCGAACGCAGGCCGGGCGGCTTCTTGGATGTCTCCTCTTCCTGTGGACCTCATCCGGTGGGTGCAGCGTTCTGAGTGCGAGCCCACCGCAAGCCTCTCCCTTCCCGGAATGCCATCCCAAAGCCCACCGTCAGGCCACATGTTTGGAAAGAATATGTGGTATCAATACTGCTTCAGGAACTTCTATGAATCATCACAGCTGAACCATTAAACTGAACTCAGGAGAAACAGTTTCATACCCTCTGAAACCCCATAGGGTATACCCCGGCAGCTGGGCAGGCCACAGAACCAGGAAGCACCCAACAAGCACCCACGCACCCAACCAAACAGAACAAGCCACGATTCGCGACGCTGATGCCACACAAATCCACAAATCCTGAAAACCAATGGCGAACCTCCATACTCTTGGATTGGTTGGAAGCTGGGGAATCTTCATCGATTCCCTGCTTTGATTTCCAATGGTTCGAGAGAGCATCCCCCCAAAAAAAAGATATCCAAAGATTCCCTGAGCCATGCTAGCATATTCTCTGGATACTGCTATTACTAAAACATGCAAAAAACTGTTATGTCATCCCATTCCTTTCAATGCATGCCGAGCCCCGGGCCAGTGTCAGGGAATGATAGCTCCTGGGCTGCTCTCGCCAAGCTTCACAAGTGGCCGGCAAAGGATTCGCTGGGGAAGAAACAAAGCAGTAGCATAGCCAGGTTCTGAAAGCCAAAGCCTTCAAAGTGCTTGGGGGATGTTGTTTCCTTGGCGCTTCAACCTATCGTGCTTGGTGCTTGGGGCTGCATCCGACTTTCTCGGCATTCACGCCATGTACAATAAGAACCACGTGAGACACATGAGCAATTCTGGCTCTTGGTATCTATACTGATACTGCTCTATAGGGCCAAGGGAACACATGACAAAGTCCCACACCCTGTGATTGCGATCAAATCCTTTCTCGTTTTCACGGCTCATGCGTTGCGATGTTTCGCAGGCCATCCATGTATGGAATAAAATGGATTATGGTAACCACATTCGGGTCATACATGGGGATCAATAAATACCTCAATGAGTTTAACTATGTTTAAATGAATGATATCAACAACTCCAGTCACATTCGTCTGGCCTTCGTCGTCCCATCACCAAACCATCCCAGTCTTCAGCAAACCCTACTCCGCACCCTCCGCGCCCTCTGCGCCCTGACTGCGCCCCGGACGGAACTTTCGGAGACAAAGGCCTCCGAGCAAAGATGGGGGCAAAAGCAGAACACTCCCTCCAGGGTGAGCCGCTGGATGCTGTACTGTGTGTGTTTTCTTGTAGAACAGGTTTTCTTGCTGGGGATGAGTGTGGCTGATGAGAAGATCTGGTCACTCCGGACTCAACGAGTTTGGATCGGATCCTGTGGCAAAAGCTTTGCCTTCGTTCGAAGGAGCATAGTGGCATAGTAGTTCTCTATACTTATGTTGACATAACGTGCGAAGGCAACGAAGCTGCAGCTCCCCAGCTTCGTTTGCATGGACATGTGACATGACGCAACAGCTTCAAACAGAAGTCCGTGATGCTCCGCGGTACGTACTCAGTACATCTCAGTACTCATCACAAGTTCAGTGGTTCCAGTTAGTTCATATTTTTGGGGGTACGACATGAGCACTTCTCCATGAGTCCAGCACTTCTCCAACGACTCGACCAACTGTGACATCTAACAGCTTTTCAGCACATGGCCCATTGGCCCATTGGTGCTGATGTGTTTACATGCCTCTGCCTGATCAAGGTACGCTCAAGGTGCTGTCAAATAAGAATGAATGAGACCCGCCAGGATTGACTTGGTGGGTTGGCCCCTTCTAGCTCTTTTCTGCATATGCCCCCGGACTGCCAAAACGGCGAAATGATGGTTTGCAGGATTCGCAGGGCAAGACTGGTAGTATGTAGTTGTTCGATCTTGCTCATGGATGCTCGTTTTCAAGCTTGCTATGTCGCAAGCTTTGAATAGCTTCCAGGCTTGCTCACAGCTCCATAGCCCATACTTGTTGTTTGTATAAAGTCCACCTCCTTTGCCAGGCATCAACCACCACATACCACTCATGATATTATATACTTAATGCTTGCTGCAAAATTGTACGTAGCCTTTCCGCGCACTGAGCCAGTTCGCTAGCCTTTCCCTCCTCCCACCGAGAGATCCCAACGGTGCCTGTTGCATGCTGGACCAGTTGCTCTCTGCGACCATGCCAGCAAAGCAAATGCGATCCACCTGGACCATCGGCAAGACGAGGAGACCGCGTGCGATGTTCTTTTTTCTTCCGCAAACACTGGCCCTCGGAGAATATATGTTAAGCTTCCCTCTAAAAACCAAGGGTTAACAGCGAAATTAATTAAATACTTCCATGTTTGCTGGAGGGAGGGTAGTGGAACTTCAGAATGAACGTTGTGCGAACTGGGCGACAGCCGCAAATTGCAAGTGGTCACAAGTCTTCCCCCAAAATCCTGCAGTGGTTCACAGTCGAATTTCAGAGCCACTGGTTTCAGGTGATGTGCCAAACGAAACATGACGAAACCCGCCTGATGTCTACGAGAGCCCGTGCAGAACTGCGGGGTGAACCTGCTGCTGAGGTGCAAGCGATGCTGCGATCCTGCTGTGTGTTTTACTGGAAGAATGACGAGACAAAACACAATAAGTGCCTTAGATTATACATATTATAATCGTATATATGTTCGGATGGATCATGATGGATCCCCACCTATAGGATGGTCCAGCTGGGGTTCGACCTTCAAGTCCTTTGCTGCAGGATTTCACGGCATTTGCCCAAAAGCTCCCTTCAACTGGCCTCAACAGGGCCGGCACTTACAGGGGGCCGGCCCCAAGGGGCTGTGTGAACCCACACCATCTGCGTACTTGCAGGATATGTTTGATTCTCCTGTACGAGGAGCAAGCTTCCAATAAAGTCTTTTATGATAAGAGTTCTACCACCTGATGATATACCTTTTCCCTCCGGATTGCAACAAAATCCTTAAACACCTGGCTTACCAACGCAACAACTAAGATAGAACTCCGACCTCGGCACAAAATGGATGGTTCGATGTCACAAGTTTTGGCAAGAGTAGTGGACGAAACAGGACACCAACTCCACTCCCAAAAACAAAACACACACACACACACACCAGGGTCATCCTCAATGGGTGTCCAATAGACTACCCTACCCTACTCACAGGTCTCCATTTGGCACCCGTTGGAAGTGCTAGACACACATGTTCCTTGATGTTCCCTGTCTCAACATCAACTCCTTGCCCACCTGATGTCGCAACACCTCCGCTTTTGAAGACTCGCCCTTCTGGGCTTCCTGGCTGTGTCTGAAGAAAGTGAGCCCACCTGAGTGGCTGGGACTGCCCCATCGGGACCGGTTTCAGTCGGTTTTGGGGTGTCACAAAGTGGATGGGGAGAAAATAACACCCAACTGGGTGTGGGTGAGTTGTGGGCTTTTGTATTTGTTCTTGCCAGTTGTGGAGACTTGGACTTGGAGGTCTTCAATCATAGGACTCACCGCCAAAACCTTCCAAAGAGTTCCCTTCAATGGACAACATCTCAAGTAATTATGTGCGATAAAACACAGGCAAAACAAGAGCTATGTCTATAGTTGTTGTTTCTCAAAATGTCTCACATCTTCTGTAGCATTCTGTAGCTGCACTCGTGTCTTGTACTCGTTTGTCTCGTGGCGTGTTTGTTCCTCTCTATGCCGGTCCCACCCGTTGCTCTGCGGCGGCGACTGTTGCGCATAGGCCTCGCTGGAGGCTTTCCGCCTCGGCGGGCCCAAGCTGTGAAACCGCCAGCCATGAAGAGGTTGCTACAGGCAACGGACCAAGTCCTTACCCAAAACCATGAAATCATTAGTAATCCATGGGGGAAACTAAGGCATGCCATGGTCGTTTCCCTGTATTTGGCGCCAGGATCCAAGATGGAATTGGACCTAAAATGGGCATCCCTTTGACTTGTGGGCGTCCCTCTTCCAGCCAGGGCAGTGGACTTGCGTTGACTGAGGGTATGATGGACATTACATTAAATCGCAGGATCAACAGGATCAACCAACATATCCCGAACACTCCATGTATGGCATATCTACCTGTACATTGGTTACACTGTTACACCCTGGGCCCAACCACCCCAATGCATGTATATTTGGGATATGACTGGCCTAGTCATAGTCAGTCCAAAAACATATAGTTTCAGCATGTTTCAGCAGCTTCTTCGGATCACCTTAGCTCCCCCCCGGCAGGTTTAGAAGCCAAAACTTTTGGAGCCAAGGACGTAGGTCTTTGCAAAACCCTGAGTGCTTGGCCAGGAACATCATGAGCAACAAGTTGCTCAGGTCACGGAACATCCCCCCAAAGTGAGCTGATGCTTTTTCTTAGAAATTCAACATGGCCAGCTGGCCAGTAGGAGGACCTTCACCCCAACCTAGTGTGGATGACAAAAAATATACACTTTCTGATCTTTGGTCCCCCAGGTGGTGCTTTGGTCCCCAGCTGAGTGTCCACTCGCCCCCTCACAGGTCGCAAGCGTCACGCACCTCGGGCGTCACGGGACTCCCGGCACCTCGGTGTTGAGCACAGGGCCTGATTCGGCCGCGGTCCGAGAGGCATCTGTCGTGAGGCACGGTGGCTTGAACGACACCGTTTTCGCGCGGTGAGTCGGTGATGCGGACCAATGATGTTAAGGATCCTCAAGGAATAATTGGTCAGGGATGGTTGGTGCTTTTGGATTGACTTGTAAACTTCGGTTAGGACAATTTTAGGACACAGAACTAAAAACATAACCCAATTTCCGTAGTCATCCGATATTCCAAAAACCACAACTTTTCGAAGGGGCGCAAAAGGTGCACCTTGCCACCACCCTAGACCCTTCAGTGGACAATGAATGGTGGGCACAAAGGCCTCCACTAAAGATAGCCTTAGCCGCAGGCTGCCTTAGCTCTAGCGACTTGCTGGAATATATGAGTGCTGCAGAATGATACCAAATCCTACAAAAAAACATAAGTCGTTGCACCCCATGGCCCCTGACTCCCCCATTCGTACGTGATGATTGAGATCTCCCCATTGGGCGGGCCCATGGACCGGAGATCGGAATCGGTGAGTTCACCGAGCCCCATGGGCTAATTGATTGGGGAACAGGCTCGGAAGGCGAACTACCATCTACAACCCCCCAAATGTTCCAGGCAAATGAGAATACATATATATATATATATATCTACACCCTGGTGACACTCCATGTATGCCATATTTACATACAATGACCCCCAAAACCACCCCAATCTAGGCATATATGGCATACATGGAGTGTCTGGGATATATACCATTATATATACCTGCACCCTGGTGACTGCAAACATGCCAATCCCAATGGAGTGTCTGAAATCTATCACTTGACGGTCTTCAAAACTATGGGGAGAGCACAATCTAGTAAGGACTTGTCCTTTGTCGACAACACATGGAAATGACAAGTCCTTAATACAAAGCCTCAAACTGGAACTCAAACATATATTTATTAAAGAATGTTCTATTTGTTCCAGCAGTGAGGCGAGTGATGAGTGCAGGGGCACCCTCACCCTCACCCCAACACATTAAAAGTGTCACGATCACATGCCCAAGTCTAAGTACTCCCTCAGAAGGTGGGTTAGCTTGCTAACCCTCAAATCTCCAGTATAGGTTGGGTATATCGGTAAATCCCATTGCCAGGGCCCAATGGATGAGGATGAGGATGAGGATGGGGATGAGGATGAGGATGAGGATGAGGATGATGATGATGATGATGATGATGATGATGATGATGATGATGATGATGATGATGATGATGATGATGATGATGATGATGAT